GTCGAATCCTTTGTTGGCCACTAACAAACTTCCATACATATTGTTAACATCCGGATCGGTAAACATGCATTAAGGAATTCTAGACAGCATATTAGAAGGAAGATGATCATTGAACCGACGTTGTCACATACACCACCCCGGTTCAGGCGACAGACCGGACCGAACTACCGAAGACCGAAGTGGTCAACATACACCGAGGTCAACATGAACCGAGGTCGTCACCTCCTTAAGTAGGTGACAAGGCGCCTACGTGTGATCCTCCAGCTCCACGAGATCCGTCATCATTTACGTGGGACCCCCCGCCTCGAACCGCCCACAAAAAGTAGCTTTATTCGAAAAAGTCATGCACAGATCCCAATGTATTAACCCGAAACTACTATAAATAGCGGACCTATGACAATTGTAAGGGGATCTCTTTTTCTCAAAATTACCGAACTGTAAACCCTTTACTAAGCAACACGTAAAAGCCCATCACGGCTCTTCACCTCGGTTCACCTCGGACCGGGGCCATTGTTGATTCAATCTTACATGCTTTACGTTCAAATCATTCCGAATTACTCACTTAATCATAAATTACATCGTTGTTAACAATCACATAACAACACATATTAACATAATACCCAAAACATCCCTTTATACGATTGTGCTAGCAACCAAAAGGATAAATCAAAGTAGAATGTAATATGCACAAAGTTACCATTGTGCCTCAAGTCTAAGGACCAATCATGTACTATTGTAACATGAAAATACTTATTCGACAAGACAAATCTTTCATTAAGTATTTTCATAAGGTCATGTTCAGTGAACTTATTCTCTAACAAGCACTCACATATATGTACTTGCGTCCCACGCTAATGTTGATGGAATGCAACATTCTTGTCCAACAAGCATACATACTATGTGCAATTCTTTTATGGATTATTCGATATCCCATCTCGAAACATCCATCGAATTGGAACTTTATTTAAGATCACTGCTTTCAAGGTATGTTCCATGATCACCATCTCTATGCGCAACCATACCTTATAACATATGTGATCTAGGGATTTTATCTTAAGTGCAATTATATGATAAATGCTTATTCTTAAGATAAAGTAATGCCTTTTAATTAATATAATTCCAATAGATTGTATTTACAAGTAGAATACGTCCAATCAGATTGGAACGCCGGGTATACTACTCTAACATACGCGACTCTTGAAAATCGTGCCTCTTAACAGCAGCTACGTGGCCTATTTTAAGTGACCGTTACCCCTATTAATAAAACGGTGCAATTAATTTCAATAAAGTGCACCGCTTCAACTTTTAAGTATTATTTCCACCAAGTGTAGAGACATCGGAGGAATGATGATGAAACCGACATGTCATATAGATCCAAGAATTTAGTTCCTTCCCGATAAAGCTTCAGCATCACTGCCCGTCTTCCGTCCAGACGACCATTAATGCTGGGGGCCACCTTGTTGATATCATTTTCAATAAACCAAGTTAAGCAACGTTGATTAGACGATTAAGGTCAGTATGAGGATAATTAAAATTCGTACAAGTACATGACGTTTACACAGACTTCAAGACGATTGCACAACAAGAGATTCAGCAAGAACCGACGTCACCGTTGCTTGACCGATATCTCATGTCGGTTATCACATGTTGGTCACTACTTGTCGGATACAACATATTGGTTATAACTGGACGAACCGATATCTATGATGTGCCACTTCAATACTGTAAGGTGGTGACAACTCAACACAAATCATCATTACGTTTATCCAAGTGGCATGCTATCAAGAGAAATAACAAAAAGCCGCCTTTGACCTTTCAAATGTAATGATTACTTTACAGATGAATGTTGTACGTAAATATAAAAGGAGAAAACAGTTCTCCAAAAAAGGGACACAGACAGATACAATAGTAATAATCATAAAAATTTCCATTTCCTTTTATCAAACATACAAGCTTCTGTTGACTTATATTAAGATTACTCCAAATCCTAATCGATTATATCGTTGTTAATTCTCATTTGACAACAATATTATATAATAATTATTGCTAATATCAACTAACAATAATTCACAATAAATATAAAAACAATTGTTTCAAAATTATTTATTTTAACATCAATATTATCTTTTTCTTTTGTATCTCATTAAAAAAAATTCTTTAAAAACAATTAGTAAATTATTTTAATAATATAATCAAATAACTATAGAAGCTTATAAATATTTGTTTTTTTAATAATAATAATCAAACTGTTATTATCTAATAATAATAAACAATTATTTATAATAATAAAATCGTTAATTTATTTTTTTAATTTACTATTACCGTAGAGGTGGAGCCTGGTGGACTCTTGTGTACTGCCGCGGCCATTTCGCCCCCAAATTCACAGGTTCCCGCCTTCTCAACCCACTACAGTTTGACTAAGCTACGAAAATGGCTCGAGGCGGCAAGAAGGAAGGCGGCGCGGCGGCGGACCCCGAGGCGGAGGAGAGAGCAAAGCTGAAGAAGCTGGCCTTCTCCAGAAACATTTTGTCGCAGAGCCCAGCGAAGGTGGGCCGCCACGCATCCGCCCTGGCGCCTAACAAGGCGGTGGTCAAGCACCACGGCCGGGATATTCTCAGGAAGTCACAGCGGAAGAACAAGTATCTCTTCTCCTTCCCCGGCCTTCTCGGCCCGATCTCCGGTGGAAAAATCGGCGAGCTCAAAGACCTCGGCACCAAAAACCCCATCCTATACCTAGATTTCCCGCAGGTAGTTAATTATCTGCCTCAGTATAACTGTTAATACCTATCCATTTGTTATCCATTTCGTGTTTCTCCTTTTAAATTCATCGTATGCCAGACCAGGTGAAGGTGAATGGAAGTATGTGTGTTGCATAAACTGTTGTCAGTGAGACAGTGATGGTTTAATTACGCTATTTTTACAGAGAACAGATTTCGTTGTGCTATTTGCATCAGTTGAAACAGATGTTTGATTCTTTGTCAATTTATTGAAATGTGTAGGGCCAGATGAAGTTGTTTGGGACGATCGTTTATCCCAAGAATCGGTACTTGACGCTTCAGTTCTCAAGAGGCGGGAAGAATGTAACATGTGATGACTACTTTGACAATATGGTTGGTATTTACTAGCATTGTTCTCTGCCTACTTGTTATTTTCAAGCTTGTTTCTTTTTCATTTTTTCGCGCATTATGTTATATTTCATAACTTATGATATGCTATTACCAGATATTGATGGAACACAATAATACAGCCTATAGGTTTATATTACTTTTTACTATGAAGAGCTCCACACATGCCGTTGGAAGTTGCCATGTGGAAACAACAGTAGAGTTTTTGTGGTTAAATATAATTTTGTAGTGGAAGTTGAGTCGTCCATAGCAGGTTATAGTTTGGCAGACCAAGCCGATTCACTCATGTCTGATGAAGAATTTCTTGGTGAAATGCAACCTCATCACTACTCATAGAAATAGTTGAATTTTGTTGTCAACTTTTAAACATTTGTGTCCCAAACATGGATTTGATGTAAAACCATGAGGCTATGGTCTGGTAGGAGTATCTTAGCGGTCTTGTTTTGGAGTAAAAAGTTACTGTGCATTGCTCATTACATTATAGCTGTCTGAGGAAGCTGGCTTTAGTTGCTAGGCTAAGGCTGACCAACCACAATGGGGACAAGTTGTTAGAAATTAAAAAAGGTGTAGATATCTTTTCCCCTGATTTTTTGTTTTCTATTTCCATCTTCCCCACTAATTTTTCGTTTAGGCTTATAGTCATGTATGTAACCTTCTTTCCAGATAGTATTTTCAGATGCTTGGTGGATTGGAACCAAAGAGGAAAATCCCGAAGAGTTGCAGCTTCAGTTCCCAAAGGACCTGATTGTGGTTAGTTGTAAATTTGTGTGCTGGCTAGTTAATAGTACAGGAAATTCAATTAGCTTAGGGCACAAGCAAATACTTGCTAAGATATTGCTGGCACAAATTTCTGTATTTTGGTCCCAGGAAAAACACGTTGATTATGATTTCAAGGGGGGTGTAGGGGCTGCATGTGACCGTAAACAAGATTCTGGGAAATCTGCAGTCAAATGCTTGGAACAGGACTCACCAAAAGTCAACTGTGAAGATGATTTAACTGAGAGTCCAAGTGATAATGAAGAGCTAACAGATATTACTCCAGCTCGACAGTCAGCTAGGACTGCAGGAAGAACATTCAAGTATTTCCTGTGCTCTCCTTTTTACATAATGCATTCAGCTCAGGCATCTGATGCCAATCATTTTCCTGAACGATGCCAGGGCTTCTTATATGTAGTTCAAACCATAAATTTCTTTTCAATGAATGTGCATGATAGTTTGCCTTTGAAGTTGAACCCACATATGGGAACTCTGGGAAGTTATTCATGAAAATTATGCGTCGTTCTCCAAAAAAGGCTAAGTTGATTTTGCTTGAAATTTAACAGCACCGATCCTGTGTTAAGTTTCTCATGGGTGAACTAGTTGTGGGTGTGTGTATGTCCCAATAGGTAAAATAAATTATAAATTTTTCCTATTGTGGCTCTGAGAGCCTTGTGGGTCATTTTTATAGTGTCTTACATGCACTTGCCGACTTGCTATCTGGCTTGTTTATTTGGTTAAATTTGCGGATACTTATGTGCTCCCTATTTATCTTCCTAGAGTGACTGTACATATATGCATGCTTTCCCCTGCTGTCGATTTCACTAAGAGATTAGTTGAATTTATTCATAATTTGTCTCATCACAGTTGTGTTGCCTTCTACACTCCTTCTGTTTAGCACTTAGGTTAGAGTTATTATTCTTAGTGATTATAAGAATTCATGTTCAGTTATGCAGAAATGTCGGCTGGGGATGATTTTATTGGAAATGGAGATGAAACGCCTGAAGAGGAGGGTGAGAAAGTTGATCCTGTATCAAGAAAAGGATATACAGCTATAGATATCCTTCTTATTGTTTCTCACTAGTTCTCTAGAGAGGATGCTTATATTACTTCCATCTTGACTGCCTTATTTTTTGTATACATCTCTGGATTTGCAAGTCTTCATTATTTTCTAAGAGTTCATTTCCTTAGAGACATACACATACAGAAAGCTCCTCCCCTGTTGTATTCGACATCAACAATGTGGATAGTGCTAGTAAAGATCAAGCTACAAAACAAGATAAGCAGTCTTGGAAAGCTAAAGATCTTCCTAAAAATGATCAGAAGTCTCTTGTTCAAACAACACTATCTTCACTGTTTAAGAAGGCAGAGGATAAGGTAATCGCTCCTATATTCCAGTTATACAGAGCAGTCCTGCTAAGTCTATAATCAATTGAGAGCTGTTAATGTCTATATTAGATGTTGTGAAAAGAAATCCTTGAGATTGAAGTAGACATCTCATGCAAGCTAGACTATGCTAAGGGTAGTGTTTTGCTTACTGCTTGGAAGTTTTTAAGACTAGGAAGATGCACGATTTTTTTTTTTTTCTTCAAATTACTTTAGTATTAGGTTTGTTTATCTTTAACAGTATAGTATAATTTTCTTTCAATTAGTTTAACAAAAAA